TACATGCTTGCGAAGGGTTGATGTCGAGATTTTATAAGCTGCTAGTTTGGTCTCCCTAGGCAAACAGCTTTCACTGCAAAATAGAGCTTAAATATGGCCAGGGGTTCACTTCATTTCCTTCGAGCTGAACTTCAGCAGAATACGACGGGGTATCGTTTTCAGCTGGGTCTGCACCATAACGCTTGTCTTGTCCGTCTGCATCTTTCTTGTGATTTTAGCATCTTTTCCAGGGAGCGATTTTTTTTTTTACTCAGTAATTAATGTGTTTTAAAATGTAGCAAAGTACAATACTTCAAACAAAATATACTTAAGTAAAAGTAAAATTACAGATTTTAAAAATTACTTTAAAAAGTAGAAGTACACAAAAAAGCTACTCAATTACAGTAACGCGAGTAAATGTAATTCGTTACTTTCCACCTCTGCCTACATGTGTATTAGGTGTCACATTTCAAGACATGCAGTGTGACGTACTTAATCTAAAAGTGATCGTTTTAATTAAACAGCATTATAGAATATTAGTAATAAAAACAAGTGTGTTTGTCACACCACAGGACTATTGAAGTGAACTACAAATAAAAAAAATATTTTGTGATCTGATGTGGTATCACAGATCAAGGCAGAAATTATATATTATTATATAGCATTCTATTCAGTGGTAAACATTATATCAGTTAGCATGGCATTATACATATACTTTATTCGTATGAAAAACCTGAGATGTATAGATTAGAAAAGCAAAGATAAACCATATACTGTCGCAATTGTGTGTTTGTTGTCATGTTTCATTAGGGTATAGGGCTGCCACAAACGACTATTTTTATTTCGATTAATCTATCAACTAATTTATCAATTAATCTAAACGATTAATTTCCCACAAAAAAATCTACAATTTTAAAGAACATTTTATTAAACTTGCAACTTTGCCATTCAGTAGTGTACCATAAAAAAGTATAAATGTAAACAAGCCATTGATGAAATGTAAAACTATAAGAGTAAAAATGTAAACAAACCTAATAAAAATGAAATAAAAAGAAAATAATTACAAAAGTCTGAGAAAGTCAGCATGTTCTTAATGTCAATATATCCACATGTTCTGGGCTTCTATTCATTACAGCTTTGAGTGCAACTATAAAGGGGAAAAAAATGTTTAAATTAACCCCAACAGTTGGGGTTTTCACATTAAATAAATGCAATGTTTAGAGTCCACTAGAATCAAGTATTACAATTTTATTATTAAAAGTTATTATTATAAAAAATTTTTAATAGCATTA